CCTATGAAACAGGAAACCATACGGTTCCTTATCAAAGCAAAACAAATGATCCTTTTAAAATAATAACTCACCTTAAAATCACAAAAAGACGAAAACTTAACAACAATTAACAGATAATAACCACGTATCAACTTCTTCTTTTCGGCTTCTATTTCTTCGAACCCGAGACCAAAAACGGTTCAACCAACTTTTACCTTCTTCTTATCCCAACAAAACCCAAGAAGGAAGCAAAAATATCTTAACATAAACAATTTTATAAAATAGGCGGCGTAGATTCATGATATTTAAAATAAATTTTTAAAACACACCCCTCAATTGTCAAATCAATTTTAAAAACAACCCCAAACTTTCCTTAATGAAAACCCGATTATCACAATTGAACTTCATTCTTTATAGATAATTTAATAATTAAAAAAAAAACAGATCCTTAATAGTTACAAATATAATCAAATTACCTTTCATAAATTGATTATTAACAAACAAATATTTTTAATATATTTTATAACATTATTACAAATAAATCCTATAAAATCCTGTATAATATAAAAAACTACCCTAATTTGATTTCAAAATCCAATATCTACAAGATTTCGTTGAAATTCCGAGTTTTCATTCTCACTTTTCTTTCAATTATAGCAAACACCAAAAGATGATCTGATTAACCACAAGGGTGGTGCCTGATTGGTTTGAGCTTGGCTCCAAGGTTCAAAAGTACCAGTAAGTCCCAAGTCAAATCCAAGGAGGAATACAAATCCCTTGTGGCCACGGAGGTTCAAATGTGGTGACTCTGGACTATCTGCAAAGCAGGTGGTCGTCCTAGAATTAGTCGGTTCATATAACAGATTGGATATCCATGTTAATAAAAAAAGATATCCCGATCATAATTATCATTATAAGACAAAATAGTGAGTTTGAGGCAACTGACATAAACACAATCCACTTCCACAGAATGGACAACTTCTTGATTAGGTCATATACCCTAACTTCAGATAGGAGAATGGATATTGAAGATCAACTCATCCCATATCAATTTTTTACTTCTTTTTTCCAAAATACTTTCGGAACGATCACCTGTTTTGTGGACAGTCTGAAATCATTGCATTTGAACCTTCGTGTTCATAAAGAGATTTTTATTCCTCTTTGGATTTGAATATATGACCTGCAGACACTTTTAACATTTGGAATCAAACTCAAATCAACCAGACACCACTCTTGTGATTTATAAAGAAAATAGTTAACATATATGAAGTTAGAATTGTTTTAATCTATTACTGTTATCAGTTTAAACAACTGATCAATGAAGTAGAAGTAGCCCCTTTGTATGATCTCATGTTGTAATGTAACATAAGCCTTATTCAGTCGTAATAAAGACAACATAAGTAAGATTACGTGATAGATCGATGACTGCTTGTTGGAATCAAATTGAATTGATTCTATCTAAATTTTCGTACGCATACACGATAAAATAATTACAATTTTTATTATTTTATTGTTTACGTTGCATAATGAATTTATAATATTAGGCTATACTGACATACTAGTTGATAAACCAGTTATTAATTAGTTGAGTTTGTAGTTGTTAACAGATACGTTAGTCATTTTTTGTTAAAAACCAGCGTTAACACAAGATGACAACGTAAAGTGACATTTTAAAATTCTAATTAGAAAAATATAACGGTATAATTGGAAAAAAAAATGTAAAAAAAGTTTAGATGATGTTTGGATTCAAACTCAAGATAGATAAAAATTTCCAATATCTTACGTATCGACGTATCTTGTATATTCAAGTTATACTAGAAGGTACTCGCGCAATGCAGCGAGATACATCTCGATTTTAGTGTTTCGTTTTATTTTGTCATCTGTCAATGTTATAATACAGTTTTATGTGGTGTGAAGAAAAACGATAATGTTTTTATTTTTGAATAAAATACAAATTTGAAGATATCTTAAAAATTTGAAAAAAAAAATATCGATATTAGTATCAAATTAATTATTTAAAAGTTCTTGTTTTGTCGTATAATTTCTTTTATTCAATTTGTTATTATAATTTAAGTTTAATAACAAAGTAAATTATTTTTGATTTTATAATATAATTTTTTATAAAGATAATAATCAAGTATTTTGTTAGAACATAATAATTATCCTAATTATATTTTAGATTTTTTATATTTAAAATAAAATGTTTATCCATTATTAGATTATGTTTATCAGCAGTTAGTTACATGAATTCAATCATGAAGCTTTAGTAAGTTGTATTTATGCATTATTTACTTGTAATATTGAGTTTTAAGTAATATGCATCAATAAACAGTACTTCATATATAAAAAATGGTTTTTAAGAATCTATATCAAATATTTTATAATACAATATAGATACATACATATATTTATGTAGTATGTTGGGTAAAATTAAAAAAATAAATATAATAGAAAAATAATTAGATGATTATCCAACAAAAATGAATGAAATTAATTTCTTTTATAGAGAAGATAAAATGGAAGCGGATAAGGTAATAACCCCTATCCTTACCCTAGAAATATGAAAAAAAATAAATTTACTATATTTAGATATTTTAAGATAATTAAATAAAAATAATAAGTAAAAAATTAATTTTTATGTATTCGTGTTTATGTTAAAATTAGGTTAAATTATATATTAAAAATATAAAAAGTCTTAATATTGATATATGAGATGGATAAAAAATTAATAAAATAGAATTTATTTTAATTAACAGAGAATTAAATATATACAACGGAACTGTTCATAGTTTTACGTGTATAGTACGTTAAATTATATTACTTTTGATATTTTTATAACACGATAACTATGGAAGTTATTTGAGGTCTTGAAAGATATTGATGCAATTAAAATGATAAACGTGAAGTACGAGATAACAATTAGGTATCGTTTAGTTTGTAGAATTGGATAGAATTTTGAAAATTTTGGAATTTAGGGGCCGTTTACGAAACGCTTACTCGGGTAAGTGAACACTAAATCATTTTACCTTACCGGATGAATATGGTAAGGATCAAGAATCTTACCCGGTAAGAACGAGACAAGGACCAAGAGTCTTACCCGGTAAGTGAAAGCGACGTCTCTTACCACGGTAAACGCTTACCGGGTAAATTGTTGTATACGATACTGTTTTGGTGGACTAAAATCTTATCCGATAAGTAAATGATAGTATTAAATTTACCGGTAAGCGCTTACCGGGTGAGTGTTTGGTAAACGAGCCTTAGTTTCATCCTAATTCATTGTTTGGTTTGCTTGGATTTGAAATCTTGAGATTTCATTGAAATCCCTCAAACATGGGATTTAGAAATCCCATGGGGTTGTTGGTATTTGGAGGATTTAGTGGTGTTTATGTATAATAATGTTTTAAAATATGTCGAAAACATTTATTTTATAATAATCAATTAATAAAAAGGTAATTTAATTATTTTTATAAATTTTCTTTTATAAAAAAAACTGAAATTTATTTCCATTCCAAGTTGCAAATCATTCCGACTCCAAATCCAAAGTTACATTCTTTGTTAATAAAGCGTGTACCACAAACTCAGTCAAGCTACGTTACGTGGACATTTACTTCAAATAAGTATCGATTGAAAAATATTCTAAACAACAAAAAATAATCAAATAATGAACTGTTTAAATGAAAATATATTATGTTGTGATTGTTTAATTATACATCTTCATATGATACAACTTGTATAATATCTGGAGACCAGTTCCAAAATTAATGATTTATGTGGGTCTAATAATAAAGAGGAATAATTGGCGTAAGACACGTTTTAATATGGACAACATCAACATCATGATTTACATATTGAATTTATTCTCGTTAGGTGTTCTCTTTCTATGGCCGTCTCCACACAAACAAGACAAATCTCACCGTTCCAAAAGCCAAACACGTCTCAAACTCAAAGAAATTCCCTCATTGGGAATGAACACGGGCCCCCTCACGACTGTTCCATGTTGACACTCAGTTTGACTTCTCAAAAGAGTTGGAGTCTGCTTGGTTGCGTAATTTGGTAAGATTTGAAATTGAATTACATTCCAATTTTTGTGTTAGGTTCAATGAAATCCTCCGATGAATCCTTTGAATATGATTGTCGTTTCAGTTCCAAATCCTATGTATTTCAATATCTATTGCTCATTTTCATCAAATATTAACTGATTATTAGAAAAAAAAATAATTGTTGAAGATGCTCTTAGGGGCAGTTTACCTAAATGCTTATCCGGTAAATGCTTAACGTTATGAGTCAACACTATAATTTCATTTTATTGGGTAAGATTGTAGTACATCAAAACGTATCCTATACAACAATTTACCTGGTAAGCACTTACCCAAATAAAAGTCGTCACCCTCACTTACCGGGTATAACTCTCCATCGTCATCATCGCTCTTACCAGATAAGATTCTTGGCCCTTGCCATGTTCATCCAGTGAGAAAAATTACCTAATAAGTACTTAACGGGTAAACGTTTAGCAAACAACCCCTTAGTATATATAAACTTATCGTAAGTAATTTTCTAAAATTTTAAAGAAGTCCTTAAATTCCGAACAAAAAATTACATAAACGTGTTCTCTTAATTTTGGAAAAAAACAGAAAAACTTGTTTACAAAGAACAAATTATTGTTACGTTAATTATATATTTAAGACATAAAAAACTGTAATGAACTTCAAATCAAATACTTCTTGTTCTATAAAAAGAACGTGTGGAACATATATGGTCGTCCATTCTTTTAGGTGGCTGAATTACCCTAAAAGTCAAACTCCATATATTATTTATTTCTATTTTAAAAAAATGGGTCAACCCCATTTTTTATTCCAGCTCAATTTTTGAAACATGTCGTCACGTTTTTTATATTATTTATTATTTTCGACAATCTTGAAAATGACACACTCCATAACCATATTTAGAGTAATTCAGCAGCTTAATCATATTAAGACCAATATTTCTATTGTGGTATCTAAATCAAACAGAGGAATGAATTTGATGAAAAAATGACGCAATTATATTCTCGTTGTTAAATTACAATAATTTCCAAAAAGAAAAGAGAGAAAGGATCGAAGATGATTTTGATTAAATTCATGAAGAAAAATAATTGAATTAATTTAATTTTTTCTTTTAAAATGTGAATTCCCCTAAAAGCTATATCTGAACCGGCCTTATCGCGTGAAGTTGACGATTCTGATTAACAAACAAGCATGATCCAGTCGCCGCCACTCTCACGGCGGTGTTATAACTAAAGCATTTTCCTCTATTTCCACCGTCGCCGTCACCACCGGCAATCACCGTCGCTACCTTACTCATACACTTATCCTTACCAGAAATATCGTTTCCTTCTCCATTTTCAGACGAACTGCACTTGTTCTCCACCGATTCAGAAGGAACGAGTTGAAGAGTGAGACGGCCGTGAGATCTGTGCGCCGTGAAAAAATATTTAGGACTCTCCACCTTCTCCTCCGTGATGATCAGCCTCCCGTCGTCGGTGTAATACCTTTTCATAACCGTCGACGATTGAATCGGCATCGGCGGTGGAAGTTCCTTGCCTTTCCTTCCGGAGAATGATGATCTCCTAGTCATCCCCCATGGTTTCTGATTCACCGGCGCACCACCGCGAGAAGGCTGTAGCGGCTGTGCAGTATCGGTTTCCAAATCCACACAACTCTCCATTCCAATGTGATCTCCAAGATCAGCAGGTTGCATTATAGAAGATTTGTAGAGAGAGAGGGAGATAGAATTGGGGGAGCGTGGGCGGTGAAGTGAATGAGAGAGGGTATAAATAGGAGTGATGGAGAAACCGAGAATCCTGAAGATATTTGCTGTGACAGCTCATAGTCATCATATATTACATTTAATCTTTTCTCTTATATTTTCCATGATTAAAAATTACTTATTGCGTTTAAAATCACACAATATTTTGGTTCATAAAATATGAATATGATTACTTTAAAACAATATATAATATTTAATCTCGTATTAATTTTGCATTTTATCAAATGTTTATTGAATAAGTGTTTATTTATTTAACTTCTTGAGTAAGTAAAACAAGAACTTAGAACCCTACTCGACTCTTATCTATACTATATATTACTAGAAGCGTACTCGTGCAATGCAGCGAAATACATCGTGATTTTAATATTTCATTTTATTCTTTATCTCAATCGATGTTATAATATGATCTTATGTGATTTTGAGAAAATCGATGATGTTTTTATTTTTGAATAAAATATATGTTTGAAGATATCAATAAAATTTGACAAAAATATATCGATATTAGTATCAAATTAACTATTTGAAATTCCTCATTTTTTTGTGTAATTTTTTAATACAATTTTTTATAATTTAATTTATGTACAATAATGAATTAATTTATATTTGGTTTAATAATATAATTGTTTTATAAAGATAATAATTATTTATTTTGTTGGAACTTGATAATTATTCT